CAAAACGTGTTGTATAGTGTTTGAAAGACTAATTAACTAATTATTTATATGCTTTATAGGGACTGTAGGAAAAATATAATGTGTAACACGAGTGAAAAAGGCCTTTGCTGCACTCGAGATCATTCCTAAACAAACATCGCTCTCGTGTGCAGCAAAGTGCCACTTTCACCACTAGTTACACAAATAACTATTTCCTACAGTTACCTAACAATGTACATGTTGTCTCACTGATTTGAGAAAGCAAAGTGGCCAATTCGCTCATCAGTGAGACAATGTTAACATTGTCTCACTCTAATTACTTTGTCTCACTCCAGATTTGCAACGTGAAGGCACGAAATAGTGGGCGCGTAACATGCAGGCAACGTCGTCGTATGCGCGCAAAATACGTTGGCAGCACTGACTGTAAATCAGCTGATCAGCTGTTGTACTGTTGTATTTGTCACTTCACATTAAATGTTATATTAAAAGTTCACTTCTGTGTAAAAATAGGTTATGTTTTTTCACCAATTTATTTGTTTTATGGTAACTGTAGGAAATAGTTATTTGTGCAACTAGTGAGAAAAGTGAGCAATTGACTCACTCGAGAGAAATCCTTACTCACGAGCCGTAGGCGAGTGAGGAATGGTTTCTCGAGTGAGGCAATTGTACTTTGAACTTGAGTTGCACATTATACTTTTTTATTACTTTTCAATTTTAGTCTAGCCTCTTTACGTGTAGCTTACTATATAATATAATTAAAAAAAAAAAAAAAAAAAAAAAAAAAAAAAAAAAAAAAAAAAAAAACTCTGAGCAATATTCTACAAAACTTGTAGGCTACTATACAACTACATTTCTTTAACCAAACTTTAGCGCACATTTTCTCTACATATTCTCTAATAGGAGCTATGTCTGTTTGTCTGTGTGTAATAATATTACAGATATATGTTATTTAACTCGAAATCCAGCAGAAGGATTTTGACTAAGTTTTGGAATTAGGGAATTATAATAGCCCTAAAAACATGATTGGTGATAGCCACTACCCTGGGAAAATATGTACTATTTCACTAAAGTACACAACTCATTTGAAAATTTAAAAATTTATCATTGGCATTATGGGTTGAGGTTGCTTTTATATTTTTTTACTTTAAAATCTGTTCTCTAAATATGTTGAACAATAAGTAAATGCCATGCAATACAACAAAGTAACTTTTGAGCATTAAAAATCAATCTTGATCAATGTTGATTGTAAACATTAAGCGCTTGAATCGGACCTATCTGTCTCAGCTATGAGAGTATTTTAGAGCGTATGCTCATGCTGAAGTTTTACTGAAAGAAAGATTTAGTTTAGTAGCCTATCAAGAAATCAACCACACTCATTTATACATAATTGTATTTTCATGATTATTTCTAAAACTATTAGCAATAAAAAAAACGCTCTGTCTATTTTCATTAGACTCCCAAATCCGTGTTAAGTGGAGGTAAAATTTCACCCGCAAACGAACTTGAGAGCGCTCAGATGACGTTAGCTCTGCTCTGTGGGTAAAATTCCAGGGGATAAAATTCCGCCGACCCAATAAACGTGCTGTATATCGTGTATATATTTATCTACAATCTTGGGTGATGTGGAATGAAATAAATAACATAAAAACATAGATGGTCACAGTATGGTTTGGTATAAATAACATAAACATAGATAAAACATACTCCTAAAGATATACTAGGAGGGTATGTTTTATCATAAATAAAACATGGTTTTATCTGTAGTAATTAATGGTACTTTCCTGTTAAAGGGAACATTTATTATTATCGATGATTTTTCCTCGATATATCGATATTTTTGTTTACCGATCCATTACATATTGACAACTGATCTTGTTTAGGCTAAAATCCTATACTCTAATACGAGCAAAGTTTGCTTGTATGTATGTATGTATGTATGTATGTATGTATGCTTGCACCAAGATCTCGAAAACTGCTCCGACGATTTTCTTCAAATGTTGTATATAGTTTATAATTGGCCTAAAAAACGAGTTTACTGCAATTAGAACTGCCAACAAAAATCTAATTACGTAGAAAAATGAAACTGAAAATCACATTTTTTTAACATTAGTCTTATGGGTTGCTAGGTAACCATGTTGGCTGAATTAAATAACAAGGAAAATGTAAACAAAAGACTTGTAAGCTATCTATCCACAGTATACTAGCAAATCAAAATACAGTACAAAAGGAAAAACATCAGTTGTTACTATTGAGCAAAGATTATACTGAAGATTACTCGATTCTATAGTCAAGGGTAGCAGTGTGGAGCAGTGGCGGCGATTGGGCTTGAGAGGTGGGGGGGGGCGAAATCTAGATTTATTGTTGATATAATTCTATTTTATAATTTTGATATGTATTCCTTATGAAAGTGGGGGGGGCGACTGCCCCCCCTGGCCCCCCCTAAACGCCGCCTCTGGTGTGGAGTGTGGGATCTGTTTATGACGATTAGATTACGGTATCTGCAATCCTTAAATGCTATGGGAAGGGAAGGAAACAGGTCCGCGAAGTATGAAGTAACAAAGGCGAGCAGTCTGGAGTGTGGGAACTGTTTACGACAATTAGATTAAGGTATCTTCAATCCTAAAATGCTATGGGAAGGGAGGGAAACAGGTCCGCGACGTGGGAAGTGATGAAGGAAGTAATAAAGGCGAGCAGTCTGGAGTGTGGGAACTGTTTATGACGATTAAATTAAGGTATCTGCAATCCTAAAATGTAATGGGAAGAGAGGAAAACAGGTCCATGACAAGGGAAATGGGGAAGGAAGTTGTAAGGCTAGCAGTGCAGAGTGTGGGAACCGTCTGTGGCATTTATGTATCTGCAATTCTAAAATAGTATAAGGAAGGAGGGCAAACAGGTCTACGACATAGGGAGTAGTGAAGGAAGTAGTAAAGGTGAGCAGTCCGGAGTGTAGGAACTGTTAATAATGATTAGATCAAGTTATCTACAATCCTAAAATGCTATGGGAAGGGAGGAAGGAATCAGGACCGTGACGTAGGAAGTGGTGAAGGAAGTAGTAAATGCGAGCAGTCTGGAGTGTGGAAACTGTTTATGACGATTACATTAAGGAATCTGCAATCCTAAAATCCTATGGGAAGGGATGGAAAGAGGTCCGCGACGTAGGAAGTGGTGAAGGAAGTAGTAAAGGCGAGCAGTCTGGAGTGTGAAAACTGTTTATGACGATTAGATCAAGTTATCTACAATCCTAAAATGCTATGGGAAGGGCGGGAAAGAGGTCTGCGACATAGGAAGTGGTCAAGGAAGTAGTAAAGGTGAGAAGTCCGGAGTGTGGGAAATGTTTATGACGATTAGATTAAGGTATCTACAATCCTAAAATGCTATGGGAATGGAGGAAAACAGGCCTGCGACGTAGGGAGTGGTGAAGGAAGTAGTAAAGGTGAGCAGTCCGGAGTGTAGGAACTGTTAATAACGATTAGATCAAGTTATCTACAATCCTAAAATGCTATGGGAAGGGAGGAAGGAATCAGGTCCGCGACGTAGGAAGTGGTGAAGGAAGTAGTAAAGGCGAGCAGTCTGGAGTGTGGAAACTGTTTATGACGATCATATTAAGGAATCTGCAATCCTATAATCCTATGGGAAGGGATGGAAAGAGGTTCGCGACGTAGGAAGTGGTGAAGGAAGTAGTAAAGGCGAGCAGTCTGGAGTGTGAAAACTGTTTATGACGATTAGATCAAGTTATCTACAATCCTAAAATGCTATGGGAAGGGAGGGAAAGAGGTCTGCGACATAGGAAGTGGTGAAGGAAGTAGTAAAGGCGAGCAGTCTGGAGTGTGGAAACCGTTTATGACGATTAGATTAAGGAATCTAAAATCCTAAAATCCTATGGGAAGGGATGGAAAGAGGTCTGCGACATAGGAAGTGGTGAAGGAAGTAGTAAAGGTGAGCAGTCCGGAGTGTGAAAACTGATTATGACAATTAGATCAAGTTATCTACAATCCTAAAATGCTATGGGAAGGGAGGGAAAGAGGTCTGCGACATAGGAAGTGGTCAAGGAAGTAGTAAAGGCGAGCAGTCTGGAGTGTGGAAACCGTTTATGACGATTAGATTAAGAAATCTACAATCCTAAAATCCTTTGGGAAGGGATGGAAAGAGGTCTGCGACATAGGAAGTGGTGAAGTAAGTAGTGAAGGTGAGCAGTGGGGAGATTGAGAGTAAATTAATGAATCTGCAATACTTTTCCGAGTAAACTAATAATTTTCCCTGAGCAAAGCTCGGTCCCCAGGTACTAGTCTATTATATGGATTAAGAAATGAAACTGTTCTAAGCTAACCTAACATTACCAACCAAACTTGGTGTATTATTTAAAAATTCCTTTTGATAACAGAAAAGGCAAGTTAAACATGGAATGTTACACAGCAAGTTTGGTTAGTTATGTTAGGTTATTTTTTTTTTAGAACAGTTTCATTTTATTATCGTTTGTTGATACTGAACAATATTTATCGTAGTCATCGTAGTTGTCAGCTGATATGTTTCAATTTGTTAATATCGATATATCGAGGAAAAATCATCGATAATAATGAATGTTCCCTTTAACAGGAAAGTACCTAATTAATTAACTGAGGAAAATTCTAGAACATTCTACAACACAACTCAATTCCATTCGATTCGAGATTCTTTTGGAAGTTTCCGTATCAGTTGAATCGACATGTTTATCCAACTTGGAAATGGATCGGAACGGAGTGAAACAGTACTGGGTTTTGCTAAAATAGAAATCACCTTCTCTTGGACTCATTGTGATTTCAGGGTGGGTTGGACTGGGTAACTGGTAGTGTGGTGAAGTGAAAGTAGGCATTGGAATTGGATTAGATTAGAATTTATACGCCGGAGTTCCAGTTCAGAATCAGATCAAGTCGGATTGGAGTTGGTGTGACTGACTGTCAAATGGGAAGTGGAGGTGTCAGTTGAGTCAGTTGAGTTGTCGTTGTCAGTACTCAGTAGTCAGTCAGGCCAGGCCCCAGGCCAGTACCAGACCAGTTAATTAAATTATTTGTCTGCTTCGCTTCTGTTTAGTGTTTACCACCTACCGGTAGTAAAATAGGGAATATATTATTTACGTTGGCACAGCAAGAAATAACTTCAATTGTTTTTTAATTCACTCTCAGTGATTTGGGTGATATAGTGTCGACGACGTTGTGTGTTATTAAGGTTGGCTGGGGTTATTTACTGTAGCAGCCTATTTAACCTCAACTCCTCCTAAGGCTGAGGCTAGTAGTCTGTGTTTGTTGAAAGGATATTAGTTTCTGATTTTCCCTGTTATTAAGTACTAACTATTTAAGACCAAAAATATTGTTGCCCTGATGGATGTTGATGCTCATGGTTCAGAATCAACTTCAGGCCCTCACGTAGATGACACTGGGGTGTCTGAAATGGAGAAAACTCCAAAAGACAGGCTTCTTGAACTCCTAGACCAAGTAGAACTCCACGTAGAAAGGCTCAGAAAAGAAGCTGCTCAACTGGAAGAAGAAAGAGACACTCTCTTCACTACTTTAGACACTATTAGAAACTCTGATCTACTGGCAACAATAGATGAAAGTGAGTATGGTAGCATAACTAAGCTAGCCTATTGTAATCCTTGACCACTTTGTGACTAAACTTAGTGTAGTTAAATATATACTTACAACAGCTTAAAAGTGTTGAAAAGGGGTTTTAATTTTGGGCCTTGAGTGGATCGAGTTAGGTACTGTAGCCATTTATTTTACATGGTGCTGCGGCAAACAAGTAATAAACAAGGTAAGTTAGGTACCGGTTGTATTTAAGTTAAGTACACTATAATACCAAGTTAAACACATGAAAAAGGGTCTTTGTTTATTTGTCTTTTTGACAACTTAACCCATTCTCACAACTTTGTACTTAGGCTAAACCTATAAGTTATGATCGTTTTAAGTCCCGGTACCTACTAAACTAAAATAACTCAATCTAGTTTAAACTCACCTAAACTAAAGTAACAGCCACAGCACGCTGTAAAACAGTGATGGTCATCTTCTTAATAAGATCCATGATAACTTTATTAAAGGTCACAACAAATCATAACTTAAAACTTTAAACTTAAGTTAGAGGCAAATACTTACTGCTCTGTAAATCTATATCCATATCCATACTAATATATAAAAATGAGATGGTGTGTGTTTGTGTGTCTGTCTGTTACTTAATAACGCAAGAACCACTGAACCGATTGAAACAAAATTTTGTTTGAAGGTAGCTTATATACCTGGTTAACATATAGCCCTATTCCTGTTATTATATCTCTCTTGGGCTACGCCCCATGGGCTTTCAAAGTTTCAATGTTTACATTTTGGAAGAATGTAAATAGCACGATTACTAGAAAAATACCGGTATGGATCATAAACATAAACAAATGACGTTTTTGGCCCGAAAATAAACATAATTTAACATTGCTTAAATGGAACTGCCAAAACATATGTTCAATGCTATTAGTATAGGATTCGGGCCAACAACGTCATTTTTTTTATGTTTATGAATCCATACCGGTATTTTCTAGTAATCGTGGTAAATAGTAAAATATATTAGCCTAATCGAAGTCAGCTGTAAATACAATAATTTTGCATTTCAAACAGCAGAGGTTAAGAGGTACAGGTTCTGCTCCCAAGATTCTAAATTTTTATGATTATGAGAATATAGTTTGATTAAAATATTTATAAAAATATATACTTATTTTCATGGAAACAGAAGGCTCATTATTATGTAGCCTAGCCTATAGATTTTTTGGAATAATTTTGATCTGGTAGCTTTTTGTTTACAAATTTGAACTGATAAACAAATGTTTGGATCAGGATTAATAGGTTTTAAAAACAAAAAAGATAGGTATATATATAGGCCTACTGGTACAGTTTTAAAAATTTAAGTGACTCAATGTAGGCTATACACTTTTATTTGTGTTTTAATTCAATTTACAAACTAAATTTCTACTATAGCCTACCTACCTACTTTTATTCTGTCCAGAGGTAGCTACGACTTATATTTTCTTCTATAATTTACTTCATATTACGGTAGCTTTTTTTTACATTTACAGAAATCTCCTTAGTAGTTGTGTTTTTTTTTACAACACTGCTTTAATTTGACTATGGAGAATATCACAAAACTAAGCTGCACGTAATTCACTTTTGTTTCTAAAATCAATTAAATACGGTATCTGTAACGTTACTATGTTTCTTTACTCAGTGTTTTAATAATGGTGTAAATTAATGCAAATACATTAGGCCTACATAGGTAGGCCTACATGTTTTGAACTATGGAACGATTTAAAATAAGAACTCTTACGTATTATGTTGTTGATTTATATTTAAATTAATAAAATTTGTGCCCTGATTAACAATAATAGTGGTTGGCTTTCTAACACAAGGTATAATACAAGTTTTCCATTAGTTTATTTTTGCTTATTATTGTGATATATAGGTAGGCGTACACACTTATCTGCGGTAAAGATTGAACTTTGAAAAAAGCTCAGTTGCTACGGTAAAACATATAAATTATAAGTGAAATCAATATAATTAATCAGTTTTTTTTGCTTTACTACAGTGAGCTTTATGTTGTGCAATTTTTTTTCCTTATTTACTTTATATGTACGTTTTTCAACAAAATATATGTTTAAGTAGGCCTAAGCTTATCATTTGAAAATTGAATCGCATGGGTACATTATTTCCATAAAAGAACCAGCCCCTCATTTAATTCGTAGGGAAGTAGCCTTATAAGTTAGCCTAGCATTAAACAAAGATATTTTTCAAACTAAGAGTTTCAGTTAAGAGTTATGTTTCTGAAACCAAAGAGGAATTTTTAACTATTTTATAAAACGGAATTCAAGATCATATTTTTTTGCTTCAGTGTCCTCTCTGTTGCAAAGCACGGGTACAACAGCTAGTAACAAATAATAATATGGAAGTCCTATTAAAGTGTGTTACCGAATGTAGAAAAAATTGATAACTCGGTTGTTTGTCATCCGATTTTAACAAACAAGGTCTCATTTGATTTAGATTTAAATCCTCTATCTTTTTGATCTGAAAAACAATTTTCTTAATATTTACCGATATGGTCTTCATTAAATTTGGCGTTAAAGATTTTTAATGGACGCCATATTAAAACGGCTTTGAGATATTGGAACAAAACTTTGTGTGCTCTTTTTACGTACTAAAATACACATTTATACCAATTTTGAAATTTCTATCTTGGAAAATGCATAAGATAGGCTATAAAATAATTCTTAAAAATCACAAATAGACCGACAAACAGAAATCTAGGCATTTTAGACCCATACTTATAAGTTAAGGCATTTTATGTTTGTCTTAGCCCAAGGAACTAGTCCACAAAATAGGTATAACTTTAGTATAAAATAGCTGGCACACCTCAATCACCCTGTATGCGTGTGTCCGTGAACACGATAACTAGAGGTGTAAGGCAGGATAAACTTGAATAAGTTTGCGAACCAGCATAAAATAATTTAGTAAGCCTATATCAAAGTGTTTTTGTACAGTTATTGGTAACAGAGGAAATTCAAAAAATGTAAATTTAAAATTCCCATGTTATTCTTATGGAGAATATTGTAAAATGTAACACCTAGCTTGTTTATGGATGTATTTTGATCAAACTTGGTAAATTTATTTATCGTATACTAAGCTATTAATATTTTACTAAAAAACACACTTCATTAGGTAGTTTCCTAGTACAGTAGACTCCCTCTTATCCAGACTCCTCTGGACCAAGGCCAGTCCGGATAACGGGTTTTCTGATTAAACCGACGCTCCCAAAAACTTGTTAAAACAGACCATTTAAATGCATAATGTAGTATTTGTCTTGCATTTAGGAGAGCATTTTATTTAGACACGTGATCACTGGTCTCAAATCTTTCCCACGAGAACAGTCGTTTCAGTACCGCCCACTACCTGCCGATCTAGTCCGGTTAAACCGATTTGCTGATGGAAATTGTTCGGTTAAACAGATGTCATTTCCGCCGAGTGTAGTCGGGTTAAACCGATGTCCGGTTAAAAGGTGTCCGGATAAGAGGGAGTCTACTGTAGTAGCAAACCTAGGTACTCGTTAAACCTAATGTTATCTAAATTTAATTGAAAATCAATTCAGACAAATGGAAATTCGCTTAGTCGGCAGGTTTTCTGCGGGGGGAGGGGGGTATTTAAGGGTTTCCTTTTTCTCTATACCTAGTATATATTATTTTATGTCATACTGTAGGCTTACCTACCTGTTATCACTGATCTCATCATTAAATTATCCTTAACTAGGATACACATCCAAGTGTGTCAGCATTGAGTTTTGATAGGCTAGGGTTTATTTTAAACCAGTAGCAATCTTAGTGTAATTTTCATGTTTCACAGATGACAGAGAAGACATTCTGCGATACTGTGAGAGGGTAACAGGGCGCTGTCTGACGGTTGAGGTATTGGTTCATACCAACCGCGATCGCATCCAGGAAGACGCGTTGTACCAGGTGAGTTAAGAACACAAAAACCAACTACTGTTGAGATTTTTTTCACTTTTTGAGCATTTCTCTTGTAAACATTCAGTGCTTTACATGTTGGCTACTGATCGGCAAGTATATTGTAAGTGCTACTGTACACAAATATTAAAACAGATGAACAATTTAATTACATCTAATACAGGCTATTGTGAGATTGTTGTATTTATTGTAATTGAGTGACAAGACAAATAACTGTACATTCAGTCATAGTTGTGGTTTGTGGGTCAGCTTGTAAAATCAATGCAGGAAATTAAGAAATTTCCACTTTACTTTATTAGTATTTTTCTTTTTTACCATTGATCGATTATTCCATCAGTGTGGGCTGTAAATATGATAGACTGACACCATCACACTTTGAGATCTGATGTTTTATGTAGACGTTGTATATGCATTAGTTAAATTTTTTAATTCTTATGTTCATATGCATTTAAATACTTGGCATTTGTCTGAGGAGGAGGAACCAGAGGTTCACAAACACTTTTTGGTAAAGCAGTCAAACCCCATATTTTTAGAAGCCAACAGTGATGTAGTGAATAGGCTGTGGATTTAGTTAGTTGTAAATCGTTTTATTTCATCTATCTTTTTCTTCCAAGCTTTACAATATTTTTATTCTTTCATTCTTAACAAAATAAATAAAACAGAAATACAAATCACAGCTGTTGCTACAGAAATTTCAGTAGCAATGCTCCCACTGTATTAGTTGTGCTGGGCCCCTTTTTAAAATACTTTTTGATTGAAATGGCGACCATACAAAGTAGGTATTTTAAGCCAAGTATGAATGGAGATGAGCGAAGGATGAGTGGCGCAATCTTGTAGTCTTGACTTAATGATGAGGTATGTAGTGAACAATGTCATTGATTTCATCATAGCTGTCGTTCCCCAAGTCTTGTGAATACATTGGGATGAATTGGCGTTGATCTTTTCTCTTCTCTAGACTTTACTACGTTGTGAGGGGCTCTTCATATGTCATCTGTAAGCCAATACTGTGTACAGTGGAGTCCCGATAATCCAAACTTCGGTAATCCGAAAGTCCGCTTAATCCGTAGCTAAAAAAAAATTTTTAAACTTTTAAAAGTTTTTATATATACTAGTGGCTTGTAGGGACATAAGTCCCTAAAAATCTCAAATGTAAAACAACATACCGGTATTGCAATTCCGGTATTTAAACAAACTCAGAACAGAACAACATTATCTATGTGTCAGAATAGGCATCCCTACACCATATCTTTTGTGTAAAAACCAGACTGTTGTTCTTCTTTGTTTGCTTTTGTTGATGTCATTTTCAATAAATAATTTGAATCACTCCAGTGGTTTAACATGAAAAGGCAGCAAACATATAATTGTTTGTAAATAAATACTGGTTTACTAAGGTAGCTTTAATCTTGTGGTTAATGAGGATAAATAAAAGCTTCCCTGTTTGGAATTTTAAAAATTAGTTGGAGGTTCGCCTTCAGATGAATTGAAGACGCCTGCAATTTCATCTGCAGTAGGCTTATTATACCTACAACGATCCATATTTATCCTGTCTACAAACCTAAGTTCTAATTCACTGTCACCTTTGTACAACTATTTCTTCCGAAGCTCTTTTGTAAATTTGTGCAAATGGATTTTCTAATAGAATTTCAGCTAGTTTTGACAATATTTCAGGTTTTAAGTCACTATTTTCTCGACGCCTTTGACGAATTTCTGTTGCTGTTGATGTGTCAATAAAATGTACAATTGGCCATACACGGGGTCTTCATCATGCTGAGGCAGCAAATCTGAGATTGAACGATAAATCTGTCCTTGAATTTTGAAACAGTATGGTCCTTTTCCTGGAATATCTTTCTTACTGGCCGAAAAATAAGCAAAAGCCATCGCACTGTTGTATTGTCGAATGAATTTATACAGTTGTGGGCTCTCTTCAAACAAATTTTTAAGTTCTACATTAGTTTTTGGCTGAGGAAGGTTAATAAGTCCGTTATGGCAACATGTCATAAAATGATTATTCGTTAGTTCTTCTCTAAAATGAAGAGCACTACATTGAATGCACTCTTGGTCCAGTAATCCTGCATCATGAATATTTACATTTCTCTCGTCTACCATGGGTCTCCTAAAAAGGGTTGTAACATATCTTGATTAAGTTCGTCATTATCTACTCTTGCTCTTCTACGCGCACTGTCATTCCCATGAACAGTTCCCCGCCTTGTGGCCTTCCCCTGGCGTTCATATTAATTACAGTACTTATGATGAAAAGAATATATATCCAGCAGCTTACATACCAAAACATCTTGAATCCCTGGTGATTTTGTAAAAGTATGATCGAATATGATTACTCTACGTTGTATATTCACTGCACTAAAAACATATTTACTTACGAAGGAATGCAAATACACCATTTTAGAACCAATAATAACATTTATATATTAACACAACCTTAACCTTAAAATGTGTAGAAATATAAAGAAAACAACATCATTTAAAATAAACTTGAACATATGATTTAAAAATAAAAACAAAACAGAAGTTAGATTTAATTTAGACTCTTTGATTATTTATACAGAATATTTATTCTATGTCCTTTATTCCTTTAACATGACAATAACGTAAAAGCATGAAAGAATGAAACTTGAGTATATGATTTAAATATAAACAAAGACGTTTCTCCGATTAATCTTCAAGATTTCAGTTTTATTATAGTATACATTTCATAGTTGACTGGCTAAAAGTAAACCAAATGCGTGTATTGATCACTGTTTTCAAGTTATAGCACGATCAGCTGTATTGAAGTAAACAGAAATCAGCAGTAAATGACTTCTAATGCTATTCTTATGGAGAAAATTTTACGATATATCTAATTTTGTATCAAGATTTGGGGAATTTCACTATTTTTCCCGCCGTCACGGGGTCGAGACCTTTAATTTGAGCCCTCTTCCGTCCTTCTACGACTTCCCAGTCGCCCACAATTTTGACGCAAAGAATCGGCTTACGTAATTAATATATACATAGATTTTTATTCTGTTTATATTTTATTACCCAGTACGTGCTGTCACTTATCGGGGAAAGTCGAAACTACTAGAGCCGTCGTGTGACGACATTAATGCAGTTTACTGTAAGTATCGCTCAGCGGTAATGGAAACACCATCGTCGTCTCCCACGGTCACAGCTGATTACAGACACAGACGCTCCTGACACGACATGCGACCTGACCATTGTACCCTGACTCGTTCTCCGCCGCCCGCCCCACCCCCTCTAGACACACTTTGAAAGCCGTAGAATTCCTGTCACCATTACATTTCATTTATTTTTATTTAAACTTAGTTATGCCACCTAATATTTTTTTCACATAGCTATTCATCTCACAATTTTTTTTTCCTTGTAACTCCATTTACATCATATTTTCACCACATCATATCACATGTCATTTATTTATTTATTGCATTTGATTATTAATGTTTATGTTTTGGACGCAACTACAGTCGACGCACAGGCTCGCTGCCCATGTCGGCTTATTCCTTATAAACATGTATGCTTTTAGCGAATTTCCCTATAGGGAAGTAGCTATTACCGTAGGTCTCATGGTAAGACTTAGGCCCGGGACCGATTTACTTTTTCATTTTAATGTCCCCAGAGGCCAAAAACACCATTCGTTAAAATTTTTATATATGTATATATATATAGGTATATATATATATAGATTTATATATATATATGTGTCCGTGAACACGATAACTTGAGTAATTTTTATCCGATTTTGATGAAATTTGGTTTGAAGGTGTAAGGCGGGATAAACTTGAATGAGTTCGCGATCCAGCATGATCGGACCATGGGAACAGGGTTTTATGGGGGGTTTTATGGGGTAAAAATTGGTTTTTCTCACTTTTTACCCTCAAAACACAAAATTTCCCAATTTTTCTCCAAACCTTCTTAAAGAGCTTAAAAAAACAAACAATTCAGTATATCAAAGTGTTTTTGTACGGTTATTGGTTACGGAGAAAACTAAAAAAATTGTAAATTTAAAATTCCCATGTTATTCTTATGGAGAATATTGTAAAATGTTGTAGTTTGCTTGTTTATGGATATATTTTGATCAAACTTGGCAAATTTATTTATTTTATAGTAAGCTATCAATATTTTACTAAAAACACACTACTTTATTAGTTTCCTTGTAGCAGCAAACCTAGGTACTCGTTAAACCTAATGTTATTTAAATAGATCAATTGAAAATCAATTCGGCCAAATGGAAATTCGCTTAGACAGCAGGTTTGCTGCGGCGGGGGTATTTTTTAAACATAGATGTAATGCAAAGGTTAATTTTATTTTATTCTTAAATTCACTTATGTTTTTTTTTTCTTCCTTTAAATATTTGTGTACATATTCTGTATATACTTTGTTGGAATAAAGAAATAATTCATTCATTCACATAAACGTTATCTCATGATGGCAGCAAAGTTCTGATCATCTCGCGCAGTGGTGTAGACTTGTCGGGCATAGGTATCGGAATTGACTTAGAGCAGTCAATTCTCGATTTTGATTCCAAAGCCAAGAATCGGTAGAATCATGAATCGACTTTTAGAATTGATCTATCCCTAATTATATTATTTTGAACAGATTCATCTTTTGTTCCAGGTCAACCGACTTATCGACAGCCTTGTAATTTCCATAAAATCTGATCCAACAGCTACAAGAGTGAAATGCCTATCTTACATGGCCGCTTGTACTTCTACTTCTTATCAGGCAGCCAGTGATAAGAACTTTGAAACAGCAATATTGGGATGCACACTCGATGATCAGAAACGCATCAGGAAACGCTTACAGGGGCTGCTAGACTACATGAACCAAGAACCGATTATCAGCACAATAGATTGAAAGTATACTCACTTTAAACTAACAAGTGTGGTGGATCCTGAAAATATTTGACTTTTTCATGTTGAATTTCAATAACAATGTTGGTTATGAATAAGTCATGGTGATAATATTAACACGTATGTACGTAATGAGTTTCTTTTTCGTTTTATAGTACTTTTTCAAATTTTTGGTTTCGATAGTTTAAAAAAAATTTCCTTAGTTGAAAAATTGTTGAAATTTAAATTTGGTTTTTGTGCAGTAATCTTGTAGTTTTGGAACGTGTTGAAATATAAATTTACTAAGCGCATGTTTTGAAATTTCCATTATTCTTATTTATTTATTAAACTTTTATAGTTCGTTATTTAGTGTTTTTTACTCTTACTCTCCATGCCAATTAAAAAGGAAGGATTTTTAAACTACTATGATTCAACGTCCACAAAATATAGGTTCTCTTAAAACTGTTGTCTGTGCATTTTGTTAGATGAAATCTCCATTTTAACGTCTTAACTATTTAAATTCCTCATGTACCTTCACTATATCAGATTATGTTCAAAGACTGATACTAATTCAGCACATTAAGTTGATCATAGTTTATTTCATCCTCTATATAATACAACATTGTAAGTTATATAAAAGAATATTTGCCAAGGTTTATCTAAGTTCCTTAATTGAAATTTGGTGCAGTACACGGCATTTGACCCATATAATTGGTATCAATGCAAATGTTTACAATTTAACTTCTGGACTCGCTTGAATGCCCTTAATATTATTAAGCTGTTTAGGCTATTATATAAATTGCAAAAGCAACTGACATTTTATAATATTTTATTTGATAGTAATTTTTTCAGCAATATGGTGGCATGTAGAGTTTACTAACTTCTTCAATCCATTCTTCCAATAGGAAATAATATTGTGGAATGTAGCAATATTTTGGTGGAATTTTATCTGGAAGGTTTGCTAACTTCTTTATTTCATTATTCCAATACAAAATAATATTGTTGGTTAGTGTAAATTATTTATCTTCAAAATTCAATTTTTATGAGGTATCTTTCTCTAGTTTAATTTTGTCTTTTTATATATTTGTATTATTTGCAATTAAAATGTTTTTTGTTCAAACCCTGGTCTTGTTGTCGTATTGTTTTAAAGACATTGTTAATGGATAGCCTAATGACTAAATGACAAGTGGGTCCTTAACCCCTCAAGATCAAGTCTACAGCATTTATAATGTCTAGATTGTAGCACAACGGATTGAGTTATCAAATAATTAAATAACTTGCGTCATCAATCCATGAATTGCTGTGGAGTACGCGTTTCAACCATCAGGTCATCCTCAGCTCCACTGTCACTAGGTTGAATCTGTTTCTACGTTGCTTCGATTTTGTAGCAACAACGTCGATATGGTTGAAACGCGTACTCCACAGTAGTTCATGGATTGATGACGTAAGTTATTTAACTACAGCATTTAGGTTTGAAATATTGTACTCTTAATTTACATGGTCATCCAGACTATTCTTGAGGCACTAAACTACCATTTCTTTTGATTAAAATAAGCGTTTTCCAATTTTCCTACATCCTACAAGTAAGCGAATTGCAAATACTATTTGTATACATACATACATAGGCTAAAGCCGACTTAGTCCTAGATCAGCCATCACTTGCTGAAACCTCACAGACACATTCATCAATCACTTAAATCTCATATTAGCTCCTTTGTTGTTCTAATCTGGGAGCTGGCTATCAAAGCTTTCTTACAAAAGGTTGACGTTGACGTACCAGAGTTTGAACATTTCCTTACCTAGTATGTTTGGTGAAGAATAACAATTAAAAGACTTTAATGCTCTTTGTGCCAGAGATTTCAACCTAACATTTGAAGTATTGAGTGGACACTTTCCTATCTTTGATGTGCATGCACCTATTTTTTACACATCCCACCACAGATACAAGACTTATATAAATCTGTCAATTTATAATATTTTTGATTATGTTTTGTTTGGCAGATATGGCTCTCTTGATTACTGTAAAAAAGGATCAGTATTACTTTGAATATAAATCTTATTATGCTTTTACAAGAACTGTAGCGTATTAAACAACAAACTGTACTTACGCCTTCTTAAAATGACACATGATACATTCCATGTATATAGGCCTGCAGTGCTAAATTAAGACCTTAAAAGTCAGTGTTAACTGTAATTTAACGGTATTAAATATTTACATATTAAGTGGTGTATTATTGTTACTCCTGTTCGGATCAATGTATTTTTTAAGAAACTGCTAGTTGGATAATAATTTTTGCTCTGATACAGTGGGACGAAGTTTTGACTGTCGAAGTCCAAAAAAGCTCAAAAAATTAACCACTAAGAACAAACTAAAACTGAGCAAAGTGGGATATAACTGTGATTGTGTTGCATCTTTGTAAACTTTGCACAATCCTTAAAAATTAAAGTAAATTGTCAGCAAAGTAATTGTGAATAAAAAGGTTGTCAAAATATTCAAGACATTGACTTGTTTAAATGAAATCACTTCTGACATTGATGCATGTAGATTGTGATGTCACCAATATGACATGAAATTGAATTATCACTTTCACAAGAAATAAGTAATAGCATTTACAGTAAGTAACATCTTATGAATAAACAACCAAAACAAACAAAGAAAATGGGAGAATAATTATAAGACAAAGACATGTCTTTTGAAGGTTTATTAATCACATAAAAATCCATTTGTCACAGCATTAAAATATGAATATTTAAGAACAAGGTACTTAGTATCTTTATTGTTTATGTTCTTAAAATTAAAGATACATAATATCATAATTTCTTCCATTTATCTAGAAGGTAATTTTATTTAGACACACCTGAGATTAAACAACAACAAAATAATAGGAAGTAACTGTTGATTCTTGCCTAATAATATGAAAGAAAAAATTACTTCTTGTTAATTGAAGGAATTACTTATTAACTCTAAATAGATAAATTAATTGCTAACTTAGCTTGATCATTTACACTATTCCTAGTTTAGAATCCAATTACTTTAGGAGAAAACAAACCTACAATCTTTAAAATTAGACAAATATTGAATTATGAGTTTATACCTCATGTACCTCACAACCTCATGCACATTTCTAACTAGTACAGTACCTTATGAGCTAATTTACTCAACAAACATGAACTAAAATAGCAGCTTTTCGGTGCTCTCACTAAAGCCTAATTAAAAACAAACTTGTAATTAAAACTAACTTATATGCAATGCATAAATGGGCAACTGATACGCTTAACACAAAAACATACATCTTAAAAAAAATCAAACACAGTCTTGGGCTTATTATTTAAAGATTTTGGCACGAAGGAAAAAGCTGGTCCACTGGAGTTCGAAGGATTTTCATTTTCACAATAAGCAGCTGAAACAAAACAATTTTATTACATTTTTAAATTTGTATAATATTTTTTCAAACATCCTCTTGTATTATAAGCGTTAAGCTACAAACTCCATTTAATATTTTTTACATTGTTTAGAGATTTGAATATTTTACTTGCTAAAATTTTGTAAAATTGAACCCAAGTCTCACACATTTTTGTGATCATATTAGACGAGCTAAATTTATTCAATGGGAGGGTAAACGTTACTATGGCACAAGGTGATCCGATGGAAGTTATGTGTAGATCTATATTCTAGCGTGAGTTGAGAGAAAATAATAAATTTATCTGATTATACAGTGGAGTTTTTGCGATGCAACATTCTTGAACATTGTTTTGACAGGGAAAAACAAACTGAGTTACACCTCACATAAATTGTCAATTTATGTAATGGTCTTTCAAGAAATATTCCAGTGAGTAGGCCTAATATTAATTCTCAACCAATAAGTCCAAACTTTAAATGTTTGTGGCGTTTAAGGTTTTAGGTATTATAAAAATGAGTGGGTCTAAATTCATTCAAATTATAAAAAAAATACTTATATCTTTTGAGTTTCCTCACAAAACAATTACATACTAGTGTACATGTTGCTCGAATTCGAGCAATTGCAAAGTATTACCGGAATTATTATTATTTCCAAACGAATAACAGTCATATTTACAATGTGTTTAAAAGAGTCAACTCAAAGATTACCGGTGTGTAACTCAGATCATGTTTATCTTCGTTATTGGTAAACCTAAAGCAATCCGGCCGGGATTCTCCTTCTTATAATGCCTCGTTGTACAGGCAACACAGGTCCATGATAGAGGTAATTGAGAACGAAAAGTCGTTTTAGGGTAGTGTTAAAGGGCGCATTTGTAACCTAATAGTTGAGTTTGTCCAGGGTCAGGTGCTGACTGTGATTAAGCCTATTACCATAGATTAAAAGAAGTACTCCTTTTATCTTTCTGATATTATAAATCTGAAAGTTTGTGAGTTTGTGTGTATGTTTGTGTGTGTGTTGCTCAATCACGCATAAACTACTGGACGGATTGGGCTGAAATTTGGCATGCTGATAGCTCACATTCCCGATTAACATTAAAGCATATTCTTGTCTCAAAAACCCTTTCGGGCTCCGCCCCAGTGGCTCTGTAGTTCCCCAAGTTAATCTTATGATTTTTAATATTTAAAAGGAATTAATGAATCTTAACATCTGTCTCAATTAAACAAGTTGGTTCTGTTCTATGATGTTCAACAGCATAAAAGTTACAAGGATTACCAACAGGGTGCAGCACTATTAATTTTTTTTTTTTATTTATTACAACAGCTAATTTCCAACCAAAAGGTGAGTGAGCATAGCGAACGAACTTCAACCTTGAGGCGAGTTAGCGTAGCGAACGAGCTAACCTGAAGGCAAGTGAGCGCAGCGAACGAGCTCCAACCTAAAGGTGAGTGAGCGTAGCGAACGAACTTCAACCAGGACGTGAATGAGCCATGCGAATACTTATGAAGTTAAACGGGGCGAAGCCCGCGGGTACAGCTAGTCAATCATATAAATATCAAGTATTGATATAAGTATATTGATATAAGTACTCCTTTTATCTATGCTATTACACAGCACACTGTTCTGTAGCTGCGGTCGTTATCACAATTATGCCTCTGTCAATGCTTCGTTGTCGTCATGTCGGAGGCATTAAAAAAACAACAAATAAACAAATTATAGCTACACAAAACAACGATGAATGCACAAATTTAAATTACAATCATGCTAACACGACCTGTCGTAGTGACACAAAACAACGATAAATACACACAAATTTAAGATACAACCATGCTAATTCGATCAGTCTTGGGGGTTATGTTTACACAAACTCAATTAATAAATAAATGTACTCAATGCGTTTCATTGAATTGAAATAGTATATTTCGTACCTAGGGCCGAAAATAAGGTTTTGCCGGCTCGAGATAGTTTTTAAGTTCAGAACGAAGTCGAGAACTTAACCCTCCAAGTGTCCATAGTTTAGGCCGTTTTAGACCGTCTCAGATCCGTTTTAATAAAACCTTGCAAATGCGCCAAAAATAGGTGGACATTAACACCTATTTTTGGCGCATTTGCAAGGTTTTATTAAAACGGATCTGAGAAGCTTAAAACAATGTTAATTCTAATGTTCTATATACCATTTTGTTTGGAAAATCATGGGCTTCAATATCATACATAAAACATAAGGAATATTTGTTTCAAAAATTTTTTTTAGGTAAAAAAAAAATTATTTTGGAAAAATTGAAAAAAAAATAAGTTTGCGCTCAATGAAATTGTATAAATTATAGGCCTATAAATATTTGAAAATAGCCACTTTATTCTAAATTTTATGAAGATTACAAATATATAATAATATAAGGAAGTAGATTTGCAAATAAATAAGTTATGGACAAAAAACAGATTTCAGTAAATAGCGTTTAGCTAAGAATGCATAGCCTAACCATAGCTAGGAATCTGGCTGATAATTTACATCAATATCACTACCTACTTCTTCAGGATCATCAACCAGCACTTCAAAACCACTTAAATCTTCTTATAATGCACCATGTATATCACTACTTTTGATTTTTAACACTAAAACAATGATAAACATAATAAAACACATCAGTCATCGGTCCAAGGGTAACCTAGCTGTGTACAAATACACGCACGTCAGCTGTCTGCTACAATTACGATCGGCTAGGAGAACATACAGCGCTGAGACAGACCTCTGGAGAAAGCTTAGAATATAACGGAAAGAACGATACCTAACTCGATCCAGTTCAATCCGATTCAGTCAGTCATAGAGCCTTCGCCGTAAACGATGTCTGCGTGTCGAAAAATCGACAAGTAACACTACACAAAGTGTGCTGCTTGTCGAATTTTCGTCAAGTAACACTGGGAGGGTTAAATCGATCGAGAGCTGCAAAACCATTTTGGTCCGTGGTACGAACGCTATTTTTCACCACACTACACACTATTACCCTATTCACCACTATAATAATGCACACTGATAGGCCTTGTCAACAAAACTACAACTTTAAGGTTATGTGAAGAAATAATTTGAGGAATCAACAAAGATAAAAAAAGTTAAATAGTTGCTAGGCAACGGTGACAAAAACACAATTCTATGGATTTTGATTGTGTATTTAAAATGCATGTTTTAAGTAAGCGGACCCACAAAAACATTCAGGAAGCTACCGGAAAAATGCAGCTAGATTTCTTAAGTTTAACCATGTGGTGCCACGACAATGGTCTAGCTATAAATGGAGATAAATCAAAGTTGATGCACATACATTCGCCGTCATACAAATGCTCAGAAATAAATGTGAAATCCCATTGTCATGACTGCTTAAACAATAAACAATTTGAAAATGCTGCATGTGCTACCATTACAGAATTTAGTGAATTATAAATATTTAGGTATAACAATTGACCACAATATGAAATGGGATTTACAAATTAAGACAGTAACAAACAGGCTACGAGTTTGTGCAGCAAAATTTTTCTATTTAAAAGATTTTTTACCATTAGCAACAATGAAAATCATATATTCAGGAATTTGTGAGTCAGTGATTAGATATGGCTTAAGATCATGGGGATCAGCATCACCCACAGCCATAAATCAAATAAAAACTGTGCAAAATAGAATCATAAAAACTATGACTAAGCTTGACTCTACTGTTTTGTCAGAAAACCCTCTGCTCGGATATAGGATAGTTGAGGTATTACCAGTGGATGTATTATTTGAGTATATAATTTTACTTGATTACTATTTCTCAAATGAATTTAAAGTAAAAA